GCAGTGGGCAAGACAGGAGCGGTCCTGCTGCGCCACGTGGGTTGTTAGCTCTCTGACTGGGGAGCAAACTCAGGCTTGCAATGGCTGCAGATAGCTTTGCAGTGCTGCGACTTAACCCCTTCTGCCACCAGGGAGGCCCCCAGCAGCAAGTAGCTTTTGTCTTTCCCTCCCTTTCTTACTATGATGGCTGTCATCTTCCTCTTCCTCTTCATCACGGTATTGAATAGGACCTTCTGAATCAGAGTCACTCTCCTTCTCCTCCTCTTCTTCCTGTAGACACCGTGGTAGTTTAGGAATGGCTGAGGTAGATGTCACGACTTCATCGAATGTAAATAGCTGAGTTTGCTCCTCTTCTTCATCGTCTGGACTAACAAATTAAAATAACTTTATTTCCCTTTCAGAAACATAAAGGAAAAGTGACTTGCAAGGTACAATACTGAGTTACTATAGAAAAGTATATGAAAAAAATAACGATAATTCCTTCCCTTAACTTTAAACAATCTTGCTAAGAAACTTACCAGTATCTATTCATCTAAAGGGCACTATGTTCAACTCCCAGCTCTACTTTTATTACAAAGTTGTAGCAGTGTTGCTTAACTCGTGTAAATGGGAATGTCTACCCTGCAGGCTATTGTAAGAATGAAACAGACAAGTTCTAGCAAGCACTAGTGTCTGACACTTAGGGCCCTGACTAGCTACATGTGAAATGCGAGTTTGTTTTGGTCTAGTTAAAAAAGACCACACAGCATCTAACTGCATACCTGGATCACTGACGATACACAATACAAATATTTAATCAGTTCCCTTAGATTGACTGATGGAGTAATAATTCAAAATGATAACCTAATCCCAGGTAGCAGAGAGAAGTAAAAAAAACTAAGTCCCCCCAGCCACCGCCATTCTGGAGGCATAATACTAAAACTTGGTCTACTTCAAACTCCTAAACTGTCTCTCTAGTTTATAAAATAAGTAACACCAGCAAGAACAAAGATTGAGGCCAAACAAGTAACAACTAGGAAGATGCTGTAACAGTCTATGGTAGTTCATTTAGTTAGTAAGACAAACCTTCAACTGGCCAAAAAGTGTTAATGTTCTATCAAAATTCATTTGAATTTTAAAAAGGCAAAAAAGGTATATGAACAAAAGCTGCTGTGAATTTTTAGGGACAGATAAAGAGCAAGATATCAAATGTAGTTCATGGGGCTGGAATACTGAGCTATCTTTCAGAGCTCCCTTCTTTTTCTCTAGACTATGCCTGTCCTTTTCTACCCAATGTATGTGCCTCATATTGATGCTTTCAGATTTGTCTAATTTCATTCTTATAGCAAGCCTGAAAGTCAGACATTATTCCAATTTACATATTACACAGCTAAAGAGCGGAAAGGTTAAGCGATGTATATTGCTGTAAGTTCGTAAGAAGTGGATTTGGGATATAAATGAAGAGCTATATTTTTCCAGGGTTAATGCTCTTAAGCAGCCTGTTATACTACCTTCCTTAGATGATATAAAACCAGGGGTTTTAATTTTCACACACAGAAGTTTGTAAAGTTTTTGTATTATCATGAAAATTTTGTTAGGGGGAAAGGATGTCCTGAAGGAACTCTGCAGAATTTTGTGGACTCCACCCCCTATTTCAATTATTAAAACTACAAATACCAAGGGGAGAACTGCGAGGACCCAAGGGTGGAGCTAAGCTGGTATTTTGGGGCTTTTGTGGATATATAAGGGAGCCATGCTAGACACGCACGCTCTCTCTCTAGACCGTGGGGCTGGTGGCTGGTCGTTTGGCTCTTGACGAACTATCAGTGTGCTACTGGAGTTCCAAGTCAGTGGAACTAGTAGGATGCTCTAGTTAACTTGTATACCTCTTTCCCTGGGTTGTTCCTTTTCCTTCCCCTTTGTAAATAAGCCCACCATTGACCCTCTTTGTGTGTGCCTGCAGTACAACTGAATTTTAAGCGTGTGGGTGAGGACCCACAGAGAGGCAACCCAGTTTACACTGGGTTACCCTGTAACAATTTCTTCCATGGGAAACATGGTACAAAGGTAAGTAGGGTGAATAAATTCTAGAAATTTTGTTGATAATCTTTAAACTTACTCACATTTTTTTAAGTAATTACTTTCAAAGTAGGGCCCCCTATGTCAAGAAGAGGAAATAAGAGTCAAGTTTAAAAACACTCACACTTTCAGCATTTCAATAGTGACAGGAAGTGATCTGGTCCTTTCCAGAGTACTGCTGCCCTCAGAGAAGTTTTCACTGTTCTCAAAGAGCAACGACTGAGCTCTGTGGGAGCCTTCCAAAGGAGGAGTCATGGGAAGAGGGCTGGTCAGGGCCTGTTGGATTCGGATATGTAGTGGGAGAGGGGGCAGCCTGGAGGGCGTATGGGGCTCCCCAGAGCTCTGGTCCAGTATCCTCCTGGGGAATTCCTTTTTCTGATCTTCTTGCTGGGGAACCTCCTGGGGTAAATCTAAGGAAGGTGGAAACTCACTTCCTGGCAGAACTGGAACAGTCTTATTAGCAGGGAATAGAGGGGACCGTGGTGGTTCTGGAGGTATATGAGTAGGCAGTGGGGGGGACGGAGAGGGAGGTGGGATCATCAGCAGTGGCTCAGCGCCCACAGAACAGGTGTTCTTTTCTCTTTGATCACTTGGTGCTTTTGTGGTGACAGCAGTAGACTCTGAGGTGGGTACCGAGGTTGACGGAATGCCTCTTTTAGGTGGTAAGGGTGGGGATGGTTTTGATAACAACGTACCACTGTTGATTGCTTGGGACAGTTCGGCTGGAAAAGAGAGAAAATTCTCCTTAAGATCACTTCACAGTGCTTTTAGGATCTAGCCCAGGGTCTAGAATTAGTATTGAGCTCAATCAAACTTTCAGGCAAATTATGCCATCTTGAGGCTTTGTCATTCTCTAGATATCCCATCCTGAAGCAAAATTTATATTTAAAAACTAGAAAGTCTAATAAATGTATAAATATGTAGAAATACCACTTAGTATCTGATTATAAACTTCTTACATCTCTGCTATAATAATAGATAATGGCAGTTTTTAGGACTGATTCTTGGTGTAGGTCATGAATATGCAAACAGAAAAAATTCAGATATAAAGTTCTTTTCATTTTAACTGTTTAGCATTTTAAAAAATGAAATGTGTAGATAGCAATAAAAACACAAATAAATACTATTGCCTACTTTCACTATATCCTTATTATATCTAGATAATTCTGTATTATAAAACTATAAATATCATCTTTGATTTTTACAGCAAATGGAACAGCCCCTGAGACAATGAAGTACTTTTCTATTTGACTTTATAGTCTCCTTATAAAAGAGATAATTTTTACTGTTTTACAGCTGGAAAAGCTTAGGCTGTAGAGGTTGACTTGCCTCAAATCCTACCACAGACTTGGGAAGGCTGAGCTCGCTCCCAGATTTCACGACCTCCACTGTCTCACCTACTCCAGATGTTACCGTCTATCTTTTTCAGTGTCCACACCTTCTGTTGTCCTCTATGCCCAGTCCCCCACCTCCAACACGGGCTCCTGATGATGACAGGACAAGCCTTCTCTTTGTCAGCACGCCCACAGGGCTAGGCGCAGTGCCTGACCACAAGGTCCTCACCACATGTTCAGTAGAGGAGAGGCCTGTATCAGGACAGTAGCTATCGCTTGATGACTGCCCCAAAGTCTACGACGACTCAGGTGCTATTTTGGCAAAGTCTCTGTAGGATTCCAGGTGGCCTTCAGAAAGTCACACCTTATCTAAGGGCCAAGCTTACACAAAATTAGTTTTCTTGATCACCAACTTCTAGCTCTTGGCCCAAAACCATTAAACTGATCCCATCAATTATTTTCAAATAACCCGTGTCTTACCTAGAATAACAACTGAAATAGAAATTGTTTTCTACTCTAAATCCCACTCCACTGGCAGCAGAGTAAAAGGCCAGCTATTCTGATATTTTAATGTCCCTTGTAAGTACATTTTAAAAAAGATTCTAAATGTACAGTAAAACACTAATTACAAAAACATGAATTTTATGACTAATGAAATACTTTTGAGTAGACTGGACTTTTGATGCCTCTAAAAATGGCAGTTAGCTATTGCATCTACAACAAATACCAACCCTAATAAAACCAACTTGACTATCCTAACATTTCAATCGAGAACATAATTTAATGAAAATGTTAAGGAAGTGTACATCTACCCTGACAGAGGCATTTGACTGCAGTTCTGTGGGAAAGATGTCAGAATGTTCGTTGTCAGAATGTTTGTTGGAAGTGTTACAAATCCCCTTCATCTGTTCAGCTATTTCTGGTGGTTGTTCCTGATCCTACTACTAATTGGTCCTTAGTCCTTACCATATTATCCCTGTTAGCAGCCAAAGGCAGTAGTTTCCAAATGTTTGGATTTTACAGACCAATATAATTAATAAGAAATTTTTGACTAACTTCCAGTTGTCAGTTTTCAAGTGAGCTTTGATATTCAGTAACCATTTATGAACACAATCTGTTCATGAAAGAGGCACATTTTTAAGGCCAAAGATTTAAGAAGGACATAGTTTCAGAACAAACAAGAGTCCTTTTAGTCAAATTTATTTAACCTTAGTGAAAAATGTGTGAACTGTGCTAGTTTTCTCTTGCTGACAACCACTCACGGACTGACACTTATCTCTCAGTTGTGGGCCTACTGCTTTGGGCTTCTCACTGTAGGTTGGGTGGCCTCTCTGTTTAGCCCAGGTTATAGTACAACTAGCTTAACAATTTATCTCAGTGCATTAGTATTACCTGGGAAATACAAATTCTTAGGCTTCACCCCATACTTACTCAATCAGAAATTCTAAGGACAGTGTTTAACAATGGGAGGAGGGTTTTGTTTAAGTTTTGTTTTTTTTAAGATTTATTTATTTATGCAGACAGAACTGGGGTACTTGCCAGAGGTGCAGGGGGTGAGAGGATTCACCAGAGACAGAGTGGGGAGCAGAGCAGGCAGATCTACTGAAATACACTGCGGAGGGGAGCAGTGGGCGAGACAGGAGAGGTCTGCCATGCTATGTGGGTCACCTCCCTGGCTGGGGATCGAACTTGTGCTGCAGTGGCTGTGGATAGCTTCATAGTGCTGCGCTTTAACCTGCTGTGCCGTCAGGGTGGGCCCAGGAATTGTCTATTTTTGAAACATTCAATTGAAGTAATGCTGGCTTACAACTACTACAGGCTTTAGATGTAGAGCATATAGTTTGATGTCTATACATGCCATGTCAAAATCTCCAACAGAGATCTAGTTTGCATCCCCCACAATCAACTGACCCCTTTTATCTCATTTGCCCATCCAGCAATCTGTGCTTTAACAAGCCCTCCATATTGGGATGCAAACACGTGTCACCTAGGTAACAGTTTGAGACCATGGTGAACAGGATGGAGGTCTCGGCTTGAGAGAGGGGAAAGGCCTTTGTTTGGTCTCTCTCTCACTAACAGCTACCCTGAATGAGTCACACTTCTTCATGTTGTAACTGCTCTAATTATATAATAGATAAAATCAGTTTCCTACTTCACAAGGAGGTTTTGAAAATAAGTATATGAAAGCTCCTCAAGTTGCTCAGAGATAAAGCAACACAGCACTATCCATCCAGGGTGGTGATAACAGTAATAATGATCACCATCCTGTTTTTACCAAGCTGAGTATGACTCCAACCTGTCAAGCAATAAATTCTGAGCCTGTTTTTCAAGGTTCTAATCACCCCACACAAAGTGGTGCTATTAGCCATTGAAAAAGCTTATTTTTTATTTCTCCATTCAATCATTAACAAGAACCCTAAGCAGTACACTAAGTTTAGTAGTTTCCCTGATACACACCTTCTCCTGTCCTCCCTTTCTTAAAATAAATTTACCAAGCCAATAAAAACTCACTGGTTACCTTTACTTTCTCTCTTCTCTCTTCCACCACTTATTTCAATCAAGAGTGGCATTCTTAACTCTCCCAAGAGAAAACTCGATTTTATCAGGACAATTTAAATCATATCTTTTGCAGTTCTCCATGAAGATATTATGTCATAGCCTGAATCACAAGGTACACTGGCATCTATACAATCATTTTATCTTCTCAGTTTAGATGAGGGAAGGCACTGGCAGTTTAAAGTTGGTTTAAGAAAAAACATTTCTCAGTGCAGCTCAAACCTGCACTGTTGTTGTGCAACCTGTTGTGGTCTTTACATACCTAGTCCCCCAACTAGAAGTAGTACTTCAGAAACACTGTTTAGGAAAACAGGCATAAATCCCTCTAAACCTGAACCTAATTTTAGTGGCATTTTGATTTCAGCTTGTTCCCATGCATAGCTATTGGCCTCGTTTTCCAAGTTTTTTTCTTTATCAAGGGCGTTCAAAGGGACAATATATTAAGAACTCTCTCAATCACTCACAAATCAAATATTGTTATTCAGTAAAACAACCATCCCAAATCAAACCAAACCCAAAACAAGGGGGACTTAACAATTGACTTACCAATGACAGGGTTGCTATTTCTGTGAGCTGGTTTAGGGGGCGGGATAGGAGGCTGCTTGGCAGGGATGGTAAGAGTGAGGCTTGGGGTAGCAGTAGTGTTAGAGCTGCCGGGAGCAGTAGGCAGAGTCCTGGGTGCTGGGGAAGGGGGCACGGAGGAATTAACAGTCTTTGCTAGGCTGGTGGCTGCAGGGGCTGTGGTGGTGGCAGCAGTGGAGATGGCAGAGGAAGTGGCATCCTTTGCTTGCCCTTCATGTGCCTCATAAGAAGAGGACAAAGGTCTTTTAGGGGGAAGTAAAGGCGGTCTGCTTGCATTCTCAGGAACAGAGTCTGACTCGGAAGTAGGCTGGCTTCCAGTTGAGCCTGTGGAATGACAATGTGATTTAAAAGGGGAACAGAGAGTACCAGGGCAGACTAAAAATGTTAACACTTCTATGGACTTACGGTCAACTTCATCAATTACTGAATTTATGGATTAGCTTACAGAACAGGTTTCTCAACATACTGAACGTATGTGACAACTCAATCAATAAGAGGATCATGATGGTAAAGAGTCTTCACACAAAAGCCAGGCAACTGGAGGAGACATGTCAGTGTTCTCCCAGTGAAGACGAGCAAAGTGCAGCTTAAGAAGACCTGCAGTTACCTGATATTTAACATCCTTGTCCATCTCTGAGAATCACAAAATCAGGAATCTTATGAATGAAAGAATGACGGGGGAAAACTCCACTTATAGCTACTCTTTTTTGTTCCTGATTCTTCTTTTTAATAATTACGTTTTTTACATTATCCTTCTTTTTTTCAACTCTGTTGTAATCCCCGTGGGCTTCCCACCACTTCACCCTGTGTCATCGCCATAGTCCCTTGTGCTCTTCCCACCCCAGTTCTGATCTTTTTCCCCCTCTATTCCCCCATACAATGTCTCTGGTTTATAGTTGTTAGTTGATGTTCTTTTTTACTTTATTAAAAGTAATATATATATATATATTCTCCCTCCCCATCCCGATCCCTTATGCTCCTGCTACTGAGTGAAACTAACCATCTGGTATTTTTCTTTCTTGCTAATTTCACTAAGCATGATCCCTTCCAGCTCCTCCATGTTGTTGCAAATGGCACGGGTCTATCTTTTTTGATTGATGAGTAATATTCCATTGTGTATATGTACCATATCTTCTTGATCCAGTCATCTATTTTTGGGCATTTGAGTTGATTCCACACCTTCCCTATTGTACATAGGGCAACAATAACATAGGCGTGCAGGTAATTTTTGAGATATTGTTTTTCTATCCTTTGGGTAGATACCTAGCTAGTCTCAGTTGAGAAATTTCTAGAGGAGAATATAATCCTCTCTGGATTTTATTTTTCTCCCTGCTCTCTTGCAAACCCCTGAGACAATGAGATGCCTGATCTATGGCTCTTAAACTAAAATATCCATAATTTCTTACCTATTCGCTTCTTTGGGTCCTCTTCTGGAACAGGTTTCCTAAGACTTGGTATTCTTCCTGGCTCTTCTTCCACTTGGACTGGACTGGAAGACCTGGCACTCCCTATGGGAGTAGTATGACCATTTTTTAACATGTCATGGCCCAATTTTCCTGGATCCTCACCACCTGCCAAAAAAGAACAAACTGATAGAACTGTCGTATCTTGAGTTTTATAGACGTAATGGCAGTAATTCCTTTTCCCAATAAACATGTGATTACTTATTATGTGCCAAATGGCTTCTACATGAATTAGACCTATTATAATATGCAATTCCAATGCTAAATGTTAAGAGTTACAGTGAAAGAAGTATTGTGGTAGCAATGAGGATGAAACAATTCTCTTGGGGTGTGAATAGAGCTGGGAAGGCTCCACAGGAAGTGGAAGATAAACTGGGTCACAAAGGAGGAGTAGTAGTCTGCCACACTAGTGTCATGCCAAAGAAAGACAGTATCTCTCAGAAGAAGAAAAGCATGTACAAAGGTGTGTGACTATTCAACATGTTTGAGAACTGGCACTAGTTATGTCTGGCAGAAGGATAGATATCCGCACACAAGAAAGTTCTGGGGAGGGCTAAAAAGACAAGTTTAAGAGCCAGGCCACGAAAAATACTAGACACCATGTAAAGGACCTTGGACTGAATACTGTAAGCAACAGGAAGTCAAAGAATTAAAGGAAGAGAGATTTGATCTCACAGAAAATTCTTAAAGTTGTGAGGAAGAGGCTAGATGGACAGAGATTGGAAAAGGAAAATTAATAAAGAGCTATGTTTAGAATATAGGAGAGAAATAACAGAGGAAGTTATTTACTGAGACTGTATAGTGCATGAAGGCTGACACTGTCTAATGTCCTAGTCAGAGTTGGTAGTTTGGGGAAGGTTAAAAGTAGGGCAAGATCTGATAGGTAGATCAGAGGTAAAATTTCTACAATTCCTTGAATACAGGTATGACCACTAGGTGAGAGGCTTTAGGATGACCACTCAGTGCTATGAAAACTGTGGGAAAGATGACTTCATGGAACAATTAGACAAACTTCCCCAATTACTGCTGACCCTCTTTTGGAGGAGAACTGAACAAAGTGAGTTGAGAGACTGAGAACGGTTTCACCTACACAGTGTCAGAGGGACAAGAAGAGTAGAATTAGTTGCTGGCCTTTTTTGTTTTAAACGGTGAGAGACTTTGAAAAGTAAGATTTTAGTCATACTTTTATTGATAATCAAGTTACTCCCTTTAGTTCCCATAGACCAGTCTTCCTCCCCCCAAACTACCACCTCTGATTAGGAAATTAGACAATATCAGCCTTCACGCAGTATACAGTCTCAGTAAGCTTGAGCTAAAAGTAGTGACAAGCTTGAGGCAAATACGCACTAAGTAAGAAGCTATTTCTCAAGCTAAAGCATTCTGATGTCAGGATGCTGGACATGAACAGAAGCGGCAAGATGACACTATCTATACAAACACAGTAAGTTACTGCTTTTAAGTTAATATGGCACAGCTTCAACAAAACTTCATTGAATATAAAGCAATTAATCATTTCAAAAGGCAACACAGATTGCTACTTTGGGAAAACATTATTAACTGGTTTCTACTCAGTACACACTAAAAAATACATGCAAAAATGGTCAGTTTTCCCTCATTACTTAATCACATTTGTCTACTTTGAGGAATTATTTCTCACACTTAATGTAAAGGTTTCTGTGATGCTAGCAAATGGAACAGAAGTGGCCCTCGGCTTCAACATCTATGAAAGCCCCACTGTCCCTCAAGCCCAGTAACTCTCGTAAATCTTGCAATACAGTCAAGTTAGAAACAAAACTAAGCCAAAAGCCATCTTTGAGTAGGAAAAGAACTTCAAAAGGTTCAAGCACTGCTTTTGGCCTAAGCTGAAGTATAAGCCAGGGTGAGAGAAACTCTAGACTTTCCCCTTACACAACAGAGTTTAGGAACCTTCTCTGGGTGGCGGAGTAGCACCCTGAACAATGACTGCATGGCATCATCACGTGGCCTCTGAGCTGGCAGTTTAGCTTGGATCAAGAACCAGTAAGAAAACAGGGCAAAAAAGAATGAGCAAAGGTGAAAAGAAATAACATAGTAATGTTTGGAGTTTGTGCTGAATGGGCAAGAAGATGAATGGCAGGATGGGGCATCAGGTGAGGAAGAGTCACATCCAAAAAGCAAGGGTTAAAGGTGCCACAGTGGAGGCACTGTGACTGTCGTTGGGTCACTGCTGTAGTTACAAAGGTACCTGTGCTTTCGAGTGAATATTTTATTCAGGTTTTAATTTGTATTCCTTAATTACCAATGCAGTAAAACCAAAAACACTATTTTATTTATTTGTTGGGTATTTGTATGTACTCTTTAAGTGAATTGTTTCCTTAAAGCTTCTGTAGACTTTTCTACTTGAGTTGTCTTTTTCTTTATATATATATACACACACACACAAAAATTGTAAAAAATAAAAACTTTTCTATATAGACATTAGTTTTTAAATGTATTCTAGATGTGTAAAGACCTTAAAGCTCCAACACAGGGACCTCCCCAGGTGGCGCAGCAGGTCAGAGCGTGTGCAGTGAAGCTGCCGCAGCCCTGCAGCTCGAGTCTGACCCCAGCCAGGGAGCTGCCCCACGGGGCGCAGCAGACTTCACCTGTCCCACCCGCTGCTCCCCCAGCAGTGTGCTTTGCCAGTCTGCCCATTCTGCTCCCCGCTCTGTCTCTGGTGAAGCCTCGCAGCACCTCTGCACCTCTGGCCTGTACCCTAGTTTTGTATGCATAAAAAAAAAAAAAAAACTTTAAAAAAAAAAAAAGCTCCAACAGCAGCAATAACGAAGGCCGGGGAAAAACTCAAACACGTAGTCAGAATCAAAGACCAAGCACACAATGGCAGACAACAGCAGTAACTGGCAAACTCACCCTGCTCAGAGTCTTCCAACAGAACCCCTCTCTTAACCAGCTCTTCTCTTGGTTTTCGCATAGATATTTTTCTTTCTAAAACTAGTGTTAAATTAGAAAAAAGCACTCAGAAATGTGGTAGCTAAAGTTCAACTTTAAGTATTCTAACCCCACAGGTAAAAGAATAAAATGGTTTAATTCTCCAATCTTAGGAAAGAAAAGAACAGGAAAACTTCAAATTAAAAAACTTAATTTCTTTTATATTCTATGCTATTGGAAAATTATTTCCAAAAGGAATTATCCTTGTATAATTTTAGCTTTTTCTTTTTGTGTTAGCATTTCAATAACAAGATATTTGTATTTATTACAGCTCAGGAACAACATTCACCACTCAGCAAAATATCAAAATATCAGCCTGGTCATGAGGCTATAGAAAATAAGGTTTAGAGGGTGATCATTCGGTTTTTTTATTGTAAAAGATTCAACTCCTTCAAATAAGAGTCTACAGAAGCTTGGGAGGAGAAAGAAAAAGCTAGGGACTTCTAAATGGCAACTCTAATTCAGAAGACTTAATCAAATTTTAAATCTTACCTTCTGATGTCTCTTTGAATTTATCACTACTTTTTTTCTTCCGCCACTTCCATGGCTTGAAGATCTTGCCAAAACCTGAGAATTTGCTCTTCCTCTTGATGGGAGGTGTTGTCTCTCCTGCTTCCCCACTGTCCATGGCCATACCTGGGTCTGCAGTGGGTTGGCCTGCTTCTTCTGTTACATGGTGAGAAGGAAAGAAAACAGAACAGCCCATGTATTATTTCAGAATAATCTTGAAAATGTCCCTTCCCCTCTCTTCCTGTAGTAGTTGGAAAGGATCTGAGCAATAATAAACAATCATGCAGACAGTCAGATTCCTTGACATCACAGACATCAAACATTAAAATCCATGACATATAAATTAATTACTAAGGAAGAAAAGAAACCAAATCAAGCTGACATTATTTTAGTACAAAAATACAATGAGATGATCACAACCAGTTCAAAATCTCTTAAAAGTGCATACACAAATGTGGATGTCCTCCTAGTTCGCATGAGCTCTTGCCCCACTGCTGCTGCCATTCTCATCCTGGTAGAGGGGAGGGGAGCTCTCCCCATCTAACACTACAATCTCCTGCTAACTAAAGCAGAGGCCTCACCAGCAGTGAGTAAATCCTTCCTCTCTGTTAAAAACTGCCCTCTCCCTGTTCTCCTCTTAAGGAATAAATAGTTCAGGGGCGATTAACACATTAAGTGTCACACATAACTAGTATCTGCTTGTCATATTATTTTCCACATTCACAAATAAAACTCTAGGTAGTACTGGATAACTGGGAGGCATTACAGAGCACTTCTCAAATGATCGGAAATTTTTTTGGAAAGTAAAGCTTAAGATTCCAGTTTGCCTATCATAATACTGCTTTAGGGACAATACTGATTTTAAAGATTTAACAAGAAACACAACTGACGTGATAAATGTGCAGGATTGAAGTGAAAGGTCATGAGTCGCTCCAAATAACCACACATGCAGATCTAGTTAGCTTTAGTGGCAGAGAAAGGTGCAACCAAGACTGGGCCAAGAATGGAAAACAAAACAAAAAAAACAACAGGAAGGCAACAACAACAAAAAGCAGGAAGGCACACAATACAGTTTTGCACTCCACCTACGGTCCCAGGGTTCTCTGAAGAAAGTCTAGAGGAGAAAAAAAAAAAGTCATGTGGAACAGCCCTGGCATTACAGTGGAACCTTTATAGAAACACATCAAGGACCACATACTGTATTAGTTATCTCATGCTGTAAGTTAACCTGCTTATTACAAACAATTTCATATCAAAAGTTAACACTTTGGGTAGGGATACAAGGGAATTAATATATTCACTGAAAGTCTTGTAAAACTGAGGATATCTTTAAATAAGAAAACACACAATCAAAAAGTATTACCTTATTTTTTCAACTGGTAGATGTGAAACAATCAAAGTCGATGATAAAGGTTAGATTCATATAATTGTAATTATTAGAGCAATGGAAGCAGTGACTGCTGATGCATTTTTTAAAAAGATTAATTTATTTATGCATACAGAACTGGGGTACAGGCCAGAGGTGCAGGGGTGGTGAGAGGATTCACCAGAGACAGAGTGGGGAGTAGAACAGGCCGACTGACGAAGTACACTGCTGAGGGGAGCAGCGGGCGGGTCAGGAGAGGTCTGTTGCGCTGTATGAGTCACCTCTCTTGCAGGGGATTTAAATGCTTGTTGCAGTGGCTGATGATAGCTTGATAGTACTGAGCCTTGAACCTCTGAGCCACCAGGGAGACCCAGCTGATGCATTCTTGTGTGATGCCCAGATTAGGCAAAAGAAGTCCTAGTTACTAAGGTGAACAGAGATGACAGGGCAATGCAGTGACTTTTCTTACTCGCATGATTTACTCAAGGGCATCCTGAGTCTGTAAATCTTTACATGAAATACAATTGAATCTGATATAGAACATGGGACCTTATTTTAAAAGTTTAGTTGTCAGAGACATTAGAATAAATCCTGGACCCACAACAGTGGCACTAGGGTGAAAACAGAGTTATTGCCCTTAGGAGGTACTACCTGAAAGCAGCGTTTCCCAATCATGTTTCCCAATCATGGAATGTCAGTGAGATGCGAAGACATTTTAGATCACTCCTAATATTGTAATATTGATGTTTAACATACGTTAATAATAATGCTTTCAGAAATGGAGAGTAATATATATGCTGCTAATTCTCAAATAGTAATCTTATTTGCTGAACCAAGGAAGGACTGAAGCTTCAAATATGCTAACCTAATTTCACTCCGTTTCAAAAGACACACCAGAAAATGCCTGTTAAAAGAAATAGAGGAGCTAAAATCAATTCCTCCCTTCTTCTATACCCTACTCCCGACACCTGCCAAAACCAACCAAACTAAATAAAAAAGCAGATCCTATGAAAGAAAGTATTAGTGCTATGTGCTAATTTTACATAGAAAAATTGACAGAAAGCTTTAGGAATATTAGATGGGTACAAATTCCTGTCTATAAAGTTGTTTAATTAAAGATAACTAATAATCTAATCTGCTTCTGTATCTTCACTTCCTAAAATAAGACTTGGTTTTCCCCTTGTAATTTTTCATTATACTGAGCAATAAATTTATGTATCCTCTTATTCAAAGCATAAAAATCATGGTATCTCTTCAAAGCCATGAACCCAAATGAAGTTTGGTTTATGTTAAAAAGAACAGCATGTATAGAAAATTAGCAACAGCTTATCTTATGATAAAAGAGTATGGTTGCTGTCACAGTATCAATTGCTAGTTTATGTGAAGAATTGTAATTACTCTTTATGTGAGGAATGTTACTGAATAAAGTTATTGGGCAAAGAAAGCAGCAGTTTTTTCTTTGATAACATTTTACTATTTATTTTCTATTTGTCTCATTTGTTCTATGTATCTTCCATTTATTATAGCCATGTACACTAGTGCATTTACTACTTCCTGAACAATACAAGAATCTTACAATGTTTTAAATCTAGTTACTTGAGTTATTATAATCTTTATTTCTACATATATAACACTAAGCCACAGAGAAGTTATTGTTGTTTAACAATGTTCTTTCATAGTTCCTATATGCTTGCTTTTGCAGGTACTCTTCTTCCCACAATTTTCAATTTTGTACTTCCATCTAGGTAATTTTATTTCATCTTTTTTTTAATACCCAAAACGGCAGGATTATTGTAATAATAAAAAAAAAAGGAACGAAAAGGAGAACTGCCTTCATCATTTTTGAAGATTTTTCACTGGGGACAGCATTTCCGCTGGGCGTGAAACAGCTTTATTTAACTTCAGCACTTTTATAAGTATCATTTCATTGACTTTTCCTTCTCCCACTGATTTGCTTCTCTTTGTATGTTTTATTCTCTGAGAGATTTCTATTTGCCAATAGCGTAAGTGACATAGTTGGGATTCAAAAGTAAGTCATTTGACACCAAAATCTGCGATCTTTTTGACAATGCTGCCTTCAAAATAAGAGATTAAATTTAAATCTTACACACTCTTCCAAATGGTTTCATTTACTAACAAAGGCTTATAGAAAATAATTTACACAACTGGCACATTATATGATTTAATTCTTACCACAACCCAGATTATTAATATTAACCTCTAATTTTATTATTATAGCAGTTTGGTATTAATCTCAAATAAGCTCAATACTAAAAATCTAAAAGGGTACAACAAATTCTAAAGTTTAGTATCTTTTAGGGCCTCCTAAAAATCTAATTTTCCACTCAGTTATAATTACTTCTAATTTCAGTATTGTTTTATCAATCCTTTGTTCACTTTATCAGAAGTTATTAGTTTGTGGCACTCCCCTGGTGGTGCAACAGGTTAAAGCACAGCACTATGAAGCTGTCCACAGCCACTGCAGCTTGAGTTCGATCTCCAGCCAGGAGGGTGACCCACATAGCCTGGCAGAACTCTCCTGACCCACCCACTGCCCCTCAGCAGTGTATTTCAGTAGATCTGCCTGTTCTGCTTCCTTCTCTGTCTCTGGTGAATCCTTTCACCTCCTGCCCTCTTCGCACCTATGGCCTGTGCCCCAGTTCTGTATGCATAAAGAAATCTTTTTAAAAAAGTTACTACTTTGTACTTAAATTGGATATAACAATCAAATTTTAAATTTAGACTATTGTATTATTTTTGCATCAGATTATTGATCTATTTTATTCATAAATCACATCCTATGCTTGGAAGTTTTTTCATTGACTGATGTGCATTATTATTTTTTAAAAATTATTACTTTTTAAAAGATTTATTTATTTATGCATACACGAATTGGGGTACAGGCCACAGGTGCAGGGGGGTGGGGGAGGTGAATTCACCAAAGACAGAGTGGGATGCAGAACAGGCAGACTGGCTGAAATACACTGCTGAGGGGAGCAGCAGGTGGGACAGGAGAGGTCCATCATGCCATGTGGTTCACCTCCTGGCCCGGGACTGAACTCACATTGCAGTGGCACTGAGTGGTGGAAGCCTCATATTGCTGCACTTTAAGCCTTTGTGCCATCTAAGAGGGCCCACCTACCACTAATTATTAGTGTTGATAAAGTTCCCACAAATTCAGGTGATTGCTAAATCAAATTCTGAATTAAGAAAGTGTTCTCATGAATTGAATACAGCAGAAAAAGAAGAGAAAGCAGATTAATTAATTCTAATGAAAGGGGAAAAAAGATAAATCATCTCCTTTTCTCCCAAGATGCACTATGTTGATGATGCCTGAGGGAAATCACAAAAGCCAAAATGATGACTCATTAAAGTTTCTATTAAGAATTTTTGTCTGACAGAAAGAAAATTCAAATGCATCATTTAGCAAACCAATGAAAAGTGAAATCGAGGGTCTTCCCTGGTGGTGGAACAGGTCAAAGTGCAGCACTAGGAAGCTAGCAGCAGAGTTTCAGCACTAGTTTGATCCCTGGCCAGGGGGATGACCCACATGGCAAGGTAGACTGCTCCTGTCTCCCCTGCTGCTCCCCTGAGCTGTGTACTTGGTGAGTCTGTCTGCCTGTTATAGTGCCCACTCTGTCTCTGGTGAATCCTCTCACCGCCCCTGTACCTCTAGCCTGTATCCCAATTCTGTATGCATAGATAAATATATCTTAAAAAAAAAAAAGTGAAATTGAGAAATTAATAAATTGAAGAGTATATCCAGGTATCTACAAAGCAATGCTGTAGTTACATCCCAAATTTGTTCTACACTCATACATAAAGGGCAGAGAAGGTTGAGCTCGAAAATGTTCAAGAAAAACTGCACATCTATCAACTCTTTCCCATTAACTGATTCTATCACCATTTTGGTCCTGTTTTTCAATTTGAAGAATTACAGGCTTAGAGTCACATCTGGGTATCTTACTATGTTTTAACATGTTATGGAATTTAAGTGCCATTCTACCTTCCATTAATGCTAAAATAAGGTAGTTTCCCAAAATACATGACTGCAGGAGGCAGATCATAGTTTTATGATTGTGTGTTGTGAAGAAAACACACTTTTGAGTCATGCTACTCCTGGCCATTAGGACAGCATGTCACAGAGTTGGAGGACTTGGTGGTTTCTGGAGGCGGTGGAGGTTGGGAGAGGAAGATAACTAACCAAATTACATTTTGGAATACCTTGTATAAGGAGGACCCTAAAACCTTGCACCTGCATTCAGGCCACAATCCCATACATTTCAGTGGCTTGTTGTTCTATCATGTATTATGCAGAGTTCTAGTACTTTTTTCAACCCCACAATTTTTCCTGGTCAATTTTTCATTTGATTTTTTAAATTCAGCTCTACTGATTTTTTAAATTCAAATGAACTTCTGGGGTGATTTTAAAGTAAATGTATGTGTTACTTTAAAAAATCATTTAGCACTTTTGGTCTTTAAAGAGTATATCCATTTAACTATTTGCTGTAGGTATATAAAATACTTTTAATACTTGTAGAGCTAGACATTAACACAGTGTCAAACAATATGTCTAAGTCAAAGATAGTGCTCATTTTAGAATCCCATTTACAACAAATTCTTAATCATCCATGTCAGAAGGCAAGGTACAGACAACTGGAGCCCACACAAAACTTAGTTTTTAACATAGCTGTTACTATCTTCTGCCCTTCAATAGATTAAGTAGTGTCAAAATTGTTGGGTTCATT